TATGCTGTACGAATGTGTTCCATACTCGAGTCATCCTGGGTATGTATGATCTCAGATGGAGTGATGTTCTGGAGAAGGTACAGCCAGAGTGAAGTTGCTGCTTTCTGCCCATCTTGTGGCATAAAAGCTTGTTTCACGCTGTCCTCGAAGTGAATCCAAGTGTGGTATTTTGACAATATTGGCTTGTACATAACAGTAAGGCCACCCACATCCCTCCTATGTTAAAGGCTCTGCTGAAATGACAGATCTATCCGGATGGGTCCAGGCGAGAGATGAGACCGTCTTGCTCTGTTCTCTACTCTGTTAAGCAGTCGCAGATGAGAGGGGGGGGCAGGCAAACCAAAAAAGTGGAGCATACTCAAGGTGTGAGCGTACTTGTGCCTCGTACAGGATCTTGCAACCCCTACTGTAAAGCAGATGGGAGATACGGCGAAGTGCTGTAAGCTTCCTGGTGCCTTTTTTTGCAAGATTTTACAACATGTTCTTCATGGTTTTGTTTGGAGTCAAATTTCACCCAAGGATATCAACTTCTTCTCCAGGTGCCAACACCCTCCCATTCATCCTTACTACTGCACCAGCATTACCCTCATGGTGCCTAGAGACGATCATCATTTGCGTTTTCTCAGGTTTCAAATGTTACTTGCCATCTATTTCCCCAAGCTGATATAGCACTCAGTGGTGATTTTATGTAGCTTAGAGCAGCTGGGGATTTTCTTCTCTTGGATAAGTGAATGTCAGGGGGCGTCGTCTGTATATGCATGTGATTCTGGGATGAGATGAAGAAGGTCGTGAAGTAGACATTCCATAACAATGGTCCCAGCATTGGGTTCCTTGTGGACACTTTTCCCCAATTGGATTTCTTGCTGATTTCCCTTCCATTGAGAACTACACTTAGAGATCTACCATGAGGTAATCATGAGGAGACATAGCATAGAGCCTGCAATTCCCAGTGCTTGAAGTTTTGCTAAGAGGCCCTGGTGCCACACCCGGTGAAATGCCAGCATGCCCAGTGTACCACACAGTGACTTGGATTCACCCCGGATGTGCCACTTAGTGGGAGGTTTAAAACAGATCGAGCGAGAACCCTTTCCTGAAGCCTATTGACGATCCAAGTGGATGATAGTCAAAAAGTTGTCATTTGTCTTGAGATTTTTGTCCAGGACTTCAGTGTTTGACAGGAGTAAAGGGTCTGTGTTGTGATTTTGTTTGCTCTTTTTTTGTGAACGGGAAACCATTTGCCTTTTTCCCATAGAGGGGGCCATTTACACTGTACTAGGCAGTGCTTAAAGAGGGATTTAGAGGTGCTGCTAGTGGTCTAAATCTTCTCAACAATCTTGGGCCAACTTGTTGGGGCCCCACGCCTTTTTTTGGTAAAGGATTTAAAAAGGAAAATGCACCTCCCCCTGCCTTATTGCCCCACTGAAGTTTTGAACGTTCTTGAGTAGTCAAGGGGGGTCCCTTGCTGGATCAGGAACTTGCATTTTGGTAGCAAGTGATTCAGCAAAGAGGTCCGCCTTCTCTTGACTACTAGTAGGTGGTCCCATCTGTCCGATTTGAGGTGGAATGTGTTCATCAGGCAGATAACACTTGTCTGTCCTTGACCAGGGACCACCAGTTTTGGAGCCTACCTACCTGATGCAGCTTTCTTTTTAGTGTCACCTCCCATTTTAGCAAATGGCCTACTTTTGAACGTCAACCCATATGCCTACAGGCTTGCGTGTGCAAGTTCCTGTTATAGGTGGTAGGATGTCTTTATACTTTGCCATGCTTTGTATTAGTGTAGCAGCCTCTCTAACAACGAAAGCCAAACCAAGGCTGATCTGTAGGCTTGTCACATTTGCCGGTGAGGATGTGTTCTTGTTGTAGATTAAGGATGTGTCCAGTGAAGGCTTTCACTTGTGAGACCACCCCCCTAGGCGAAGAGCATTCCAATCAGTGGAGTGAGCTCAGAGCAAAGAGGCATGGCAATTACCTCTTTCCAAGCCAGGTTGTGCATGTGGGATACTCACCTTGTTCTGTTGGCGATCTAAAGTGCGTTAAAAAACAGCATTGTGGTCGGTCGCTGACGATCCAAAGTAGCCCAAGGGGTTGACAGTGACTAGCCTTCTGCCAGATCACTCACTACTGGGTCAAGGGAGGAAGCCAGAGATATGTGTAGGGAAATCAACAAAGTTTCTCATGTCAAACACTGCAAGAAGGTCATCAAAGACCCTCTGTATAAGGTGCTGGTTGAGGTCACCAACAATTTTTAATATGTTGCAGTTGTGTAGTAGGCAAGAAGGGAGTCAATATTTTCCATTAGGGAAGTTGATGGGGTCTGCATGTTGCACTGAGGTATGTACATTGCACATGGCTAGTTACAGAGGTACTAGTGTTTATACAGATGTGTGAATGAGAACATCTTCAAGTTGTGTTTTTAAAAGGGGGGTGGCAACATCAATGTGCTGGGCATGAACACTTTTAGAGAAGACACAGAAAACCTCTTGCCCTTGCCTGTCTCTTCTCATCCATGAGGTGTAGCCAGCAATTCTTGCAAAATTTTCTGAGTCTGTCATCTAAATGTTTCAACAACAGCCTATCATGTCGGATGTCGAGTGTTCCAAAACTATGTGTGAGCTCTCCAATTTAGTAATGAAACCTCTAATGTGACGACAGGATGCTGATAGACTGGCTCTCATGATGAAGTGGTCAGCTTGAGGTGGATGGTGTGTTGGGAATGTAGGTGCGCCCTTGAGAGAGGTAGGGTATTGAGGCAGCTGCAGGGATGTAGGTCTGGGGTCTTGTATAAGGCACAATACCACCTGCTGGGCGGGATAGGAGTAGCTAAGTGGATGAGGTGAGTGTGTTCACCAATTCAGAGATCCTGCTGGTTTGTTTGAGAACAGTCTTAACAGGTGGGCCCTGTCAGTCAAGTTCCTTTTTCTTCGCACTGGTCCTCCTGATGTCCTTTCTTGTGCAGTAATTACACCTGGTATCTCGCAGGCAGTTGTATTCCCCCCCCCCCGAGAGCCCCCCCCTACGGTGGACAGCGAGGCACAACCTAGGTGCCTGGGAGGGTGCGACTATGATTTGTTGCACCTCCTGTGTTTTCAGATTTGTCCTCAGATTTCTTTTTTACCGCTGGAACTGTGTTAGTGGAGGGTGAGACGGCTGTAGTTGTCTTCCTCTCCGCGTCCTTTCCAAGTTCCTTGCCTGTTCCTCTACCGTTCGGACAGATGTGTCCCTGCTGTTCGTACTTTGGCGCAGTAGAATGATTCAGGTGCAGTGATAGTGCCTGATTCATTAATGCACAATCTCTGGTGGAGAAAACTCCTGGCTCAGAACTTGCTTCGATGAAGGCTTGATAACAGATTAAGGAATAGTGTCGGCAGGTGTTCTGACCAGAGTTGTAGGATCAGAGATGGTATGTGCACTGTCAAGTGGACTGTCAGATGTGTAGGGAATTAAACAGATCCAGGGCTTACCTCGTTGGGGAAGAGGATTTGTTCCCTCTGTGGTGGTCAGAGGAATTGTGTTAGAATTCCGAAAGGTGTGTTTTGAAACTCTGTCAGTCTGTGGGACCTTAGCGACTGACAGGAATTCACCAGTTATTTACCCCTGAGTTAAGACTTCAGTGTCGGGACTTCAAGTCTTTGTCAATAGTGTCACCATCGCTGAGGCAGCTTACGTCACTTGATGTAGGCTTCACTGCTTTCTACAATTTGCTTGTAGGTTATTAATGATTGAGGAGTCATGAAGTGCTTCCCTGTGGGATTATCTTAGCTGCAACTTTACAACACAGCCCAAGAGGGCGTCTTGATCTTTGGACAGGGAGTCCCTAAGTAGGACTTCTGAACCTTTCCTCCTGTAGCTCAGGCTTGTATCCACATATACCACAGGATTATGGAATCCTTCAATTTTCTGAAATTTTCAACCTGGCTGCAACAATATTCTTCTGGAATGCATCTGTGTGGCAGTAGTTAGAACAACGTAGGGCTTCTTACATCTAAGAAGAATTTTGTCCCTTGTGTATACCCATAAACCATGCAGTAACTAACTGGGACAATAGCAGATAGCATAGGTTATTCTTGCTATTTTGTGGTGTGAAAGTCATCCCAGAGGAGGCTGTAGGTTTGCAATGAAGTTCACAGACAGTGGAGGGTGGAGTTCTACTTGTGGCATCGTGGGTGGTGGAGTATCGTGGGTGGGGGTGTTTATAGCGGGGTGGGTAGTGAGGGCAGCAGTGGGCCGACGAGTTGGAAGTGTTGCCTTCTCACTATCACTTAATAAACACTGTTTATGCTATCCACTTTTCCACTAAAGGAAGATGTTACACAAATCACTATGTTGCATTGTACCAGTCACGTTGTTATAAAGCACCAGATGCTAGTACATGGCACAAAACACACATAATATTAGATAATATTAGATGCTCACTCTGAAGGCAATACAGTGGACCCCCGCATAACGATTACCTCTGAATGCGACCAATTATGTAAGTGTATTTATGTAAGTGCGTTTGTACGTGTATGTTTGGGGGTCTGAAATGGACTAATCTACTTCACAATATTCCTTATGGGAATAAATTCGGTCAGTACTGGCACCTGAACATACTTATGGAGTGAAAAAATATCGTTAACCGGGGGTCCACTGTAGTGACGTCACTCCTAAGGCCTGCCGCTGTCCCCTCACTCACACCATGTCTTCATCATACCACACTTAAATATCACTGATATTGCTTATATTCACTTCAGTGATGGGATTTAGTGATTATTCTTACTGCAGCTTTTTGTTGAGTTGTTATTGGCTTGAGGTGTATTGCTGCAGTTGATCCCCAAGCACAAATAGCATAGGTGAGGTATGGATAAATGAGTGAATGGTATAGTGTGAGAAAGGCATTTTGCAGCACGTAGTATCGTATCTTGGAGAGGATCCCAACTGTTTTTGATACTTTTTTTGATATGTGTTGGATATGGGTGCTGAAATTCAGGTTGTTGTTGAGGTATAGGCCAAAGTCTATGAAATAAATGTAACTTTAATTTTATAACAATTATGCACATTTTAAAAATAAAACTGGTTTGCTTGCTTGCAAAGGTTACATAAAGAAAATGCTCTGGTTCTAATTATGCAACAGTAAAACTTCCTGTCTCATACTAATACACTTACACATGCAATTGACAAAATCAATCCACAGGCCCTCAGAGTGAGATACATAAACTCATGCTGGTCCCGATCATCAAACACCTTGTAGTATTTACTGGGAACCAGTCCCATGTAGTAGGCCAGGTACTGCTCTGTGAGAGAAATCATTAAGAAAAGTTACTTTGAGAAAACAGCATTTTCTGTGATCTCTGGAGATGGGCACTCCCAATCATCTTCAACCACACATTTACAACAGGAGTTTCATACTGAATTTTTAGCTGAGTGGCCTTGACCTATCTTGTACTATACACATTGCAGGAAAAAAGTTAAGTTTTAATCTGTTATGCATTATTCTTTTTACATCATTCTGCCCTGCTCTCCAGCACCCTTTCTCTTCCTTAACATTACAGTGAAACCTCAGTTTTCATCATTAATTCATTCCAGAAAGTCCGACGAAAACCGAATTCAATGAAAACTGAAGCAATATTTCCCATAAGAGATACTAATGTAAACCCAATTAATCTGTTCCAGACACCCAAAAGTAAATTTAAAGTAGACAGCCTGTACTGTCAGAACACACAGCCTAGCCATCTGCTCTGACTAGTTCATATTTCGTGGCATTTAGGTGCTGCCCTCTGTAGGCTCACTTAGGTCAGTGGGAGGCTCAGCCCATCCGCTCTCACTCCTAGGCCGACCGACTTGAGAGACACAAGTGCTTCCCCTCCACGGACTGGCTCGCGGTCACTCCCTCACACTGCCCGTTGTGTACTCACTCCTATCCAATTAAAGCCAAACTAGTCCACGGCCGTATCATTGCTACCTACGCTACCTTCATCGGCACCAAACCGCTGTTCAACAGCAAGAACAGCAATAACAGTGGTGACAGCGGAGTCAATGGCATTGTGAGCCTCTTCAGGGTGGAGGGGTCAACACCATCGGTCCAAACCCAGTCAACATCATCCGTCGTAAACCAAACGCGGGCCTGCTGGCCTAAAGAGTTATCTTTTTATTTCCCAGCATCTTGCCCGGGCCCTGAAAATAGATTTTTCGTCTTAAATTTTTTTCCCCAAAAAATCGGACATAGGCGCACGGCGTCATCCCCCAGCCTTAGAAAACCAACCTTGTTCACCTCCCCACCCCCCTCTATACCCTTAAAACACTCTCGAGCACCTTTCCCCTCCTGCCTCCTACAGCGTCCTAGGGCCCTTTCCCTCACACAAGAAGTGGGGGTGAGGTCTTTTTAGTGTTTTTGGTTTCCCGTGTGGCCCCACGCTGCCCAAGACCCAGCTCGGGTTTTGGTTAAAACCCCTTTGGGAAACGTGTAAACCACCACCTCCCTCTCTACGAAAACGACGCCCCAAAATCCCCTCCATGTGTGTTGTTTTTCTTCCCAGTTTCCTCCAAGAATTTCTACCTGGCTTAACCATGGGGGAACCCCATTTTTGGTTTTTCCCCTATCCCAACCCTTATTTTCACCCCCCCACGCCATCAAACAGCTCGTGACTCATAAATTGTTCTACAACAACTCAGCGCCCTACGTATCTCCAGCCAGTGCAGTTTTTTTTTTTTTTTCCCCCAGTAAATTTTTTTTTTTTCCCTTGCGTTTACTTTCCCCAAATTCATCACCATTTCCCTGTTTTCCCCAGTAAATTTGTTACAGAAAAAATTTTTCTCGTCCCCAGTTTTCATATTTTCCCCTTTAACCTTTTTTTTAAAAAAAAGAAACTTCAGTAGTGAAAAAAAAAGTTTTTTTTCTCCGGTGCAAAGGGCCACAGTCCTCAGCGCCCCAGACACACTTACCAGGAAAACAAACCCCCGCACAGCTGGGGGCTACGCCGATTTGGGCCAGGTTTCCCCTAAATATCTTATTTTCCCCAAAAGAGTAACCTGGGTCTTTCCGGGTTCTTCCCGCCCAAATTTGATAATTTTTTCCTACTCATTAAAGGCCCCATAGCAGTATACAAATCCCACGAGGCGGGGTAGGTTTACTAGAGCACCCACTGAAATTTTTCAGACCTGCAGCACCCCAAAACCTTTCCCGCCATCCCCTCCCCCCTAAAAAGTTAAGTAAACAGGGGTTTTCCCCTAGCATTTCCTAAATTTTGGACATTTTTTTAATTTGTCCTGCACCAATACATTTTTACGGGTTACTGAAGCCATCTTCATAAATTGTTCAGTTTGTCACCCAGTGCACTTTTTGCCATTTACCTACAGTTTTCTTAAATTTGTAAATTTTTTTTGCACTCCTAAATTTTAAATTCCAGTTTTTTTTTTTCCCTGCATCTTTGAAACCTTTCAGTTATTGATTTAAATTGTTCAGTGTTTAACCCCTTTTTATACAATTTACCTCCACATACAGTTGCAAGAAATTCCTGTTTGCTTTTAAATTTTTTTTATTTGCACCTGCAATTATTCACAAAATTTTTGACACCCCGGGCACTTTTTGTTTTTTTATTTTTTTTTTTTTTTAATAAGTGTAATTTTTCAAGTACTTAAGTATTAGTTTTTCTACCTCAGTGAAACAATCGTGCCTACCCCATTACCCCTTTTCTCCTGTTTCCCCATTTTTTTGTTTCTACATATATTCTATTTTTATCGTGAATATTCCCCCTAGTCCCTTTAAACATTTTGCTATTTTGTATACCCAAGTCAGGATGTTTTTTGGGGAACCTGCTTATTTACCTTTAAATTTCCCCAAAATTTCCCTTTTGTGAATTTCTTTAATTTTGACCTTGAGATTGTGAAATTTTTTTTTGGCCAGGAAACCCCCCTGCTAACCCAGTGTACACCCTGCAACACCATGTAAAAAACCCTGCTAACCCAGGGGACACCCTCTAACACCCATGAAACACCCTCAAACCACCAGTGTAAAACCCCCTGCAAAAACACCATTTAAAAACCTTTGCCCTTTTCTTAAAATTTAAAATAATTTGCTTTTTTAAATTAATTTTATTTTGGGGGCCCAATATAGCTTTCCTTTGATACAGTGAAATTTTTTTTTTTTTTTGTGTTTTTTGGCACAATCCCATTCTCAAAAACCCTTTGTGTGCCCAACTTCCCTTTGTGCAAGGGGAATTTAAACTTTTTTTTGCATTCCAATTTGCAACGCTAGCCCCTGAAATTTTTTTTTAAAAACTGTGCGGGCAGCAAAAGTTTGTGTTGTGTAGTACCTGTTTTTATTTTAATTTTTGGAAATTTTTTGCTCCCAGGGGTTTCCAGTTCCCCATCCTTTTCATAAATTTTGTTGAAAACCTCCTGAAATTATTGCCCCCCCCTTTAGTTTTAAATTTTGTGCATTTTCCCCTGAAGTTCTTTTCACTTCATACATCCTTATTTTTGTTTCAGATTGTACCACTATTTTTTTTTTTGGTTGTTTTTTTTTGCTAAATTTTTAAATTTCCTTCCCCTAAGCGGTTTACCTGTACAGGGGGTGCTGATTTTTCTCCTGACTCGTTTTTAAAATTTTGGGTAGCCAGTGCTACCTTTTCTTCTCTGCCCCTGTTTCCCCCTCTCGTGACCTATTTGAAATTTGAAAAATTTGACGCCATACTAAGACACGCAGGGGCCCATACCGTTAGCCAAAGTTCTGCTGGTGCTAGCAAGGTCCCTTTAAACCAAACGTGAAAAACGCGGCAGGGCACAAAGGGCCCCCGTGACAGTTGGTAAACTTGGGGCCCCAAGCCTCGACCACCAGGGCCGGCTCTCGCCATTACCCCGACCCTTTTTTAGGGCGTTAAAATAGGTTAGAGCCAGGGGTTTGCAGCATTGAACAAACTGTTAAGGCCCTTTTTTATACCCCACGGACGCACAGTACATTCGTGCTGCTGTTGCGGGCAGTGGATCTCACCCAGGAGATATGGGGTCCCTTTTGTGCAGCTCAACGCGTTTGAAAAGATTCAGTTTTGGGACGAACTTAAAAAGGAATTTAAAGGCTTATTTTTGGCGTATTCCCCAAACCCGGCCATTACATGACAATCTTTAACCCCAGCGTCTTGGGCCCCAAAAGGTCAATCCGGGAAACGAAAGCCCCCGGGCTTGCATTTGCCGGTTTAAAAGAAAAGGCCGCCAAAGATTTTACTGTTTGCCATCACCCTCCACTAAGTGGGTAAAATGGTGACAACTGTATTAAAGCTGAAGACATCTCCCCATGCTGGCTGTAGGCATCATGGGGAGGGATGCCCCCCAAACCCCCTCCGAGGTGCCATTAAATGCCTAGGACCCGGCCCTCAGCCCCGACTCCTGGGGGGCAATAAGCCACGACCCGCGATAAAGGCCCCTGCCGACCAAGGAAAGGGGTTTTGCCCGTTTTTTGGCGGAAAAACCTAAAACCCCACCCTTTCCAGCGCCGCCCACAGTGCCCCCCCGGGGCCCCGCAGCCGGAAGTCACTTTTGCCGCGCTGTCAGACACCCCAGCCCACAAATTTTTTCAAACCCCCCAGTCCCAAAAACCCGGGCCCCTAAGTAAAAAATTTGACCACATTAAAAAGGGGGTCAGTCCCCCCATACAAAAAAGCAGGTCATCGATTTCCCCTGGACCGGGGCAAAACGTCGCCACAGACCCCACCCCCAACCTCACCGTTTAAGCTTGTAGTGACTTGTTTAAACTGGGCAAAGGGGGCACAAACTAAACGGAGTGTTACAAACCTAAGTCCCCCAAAGAAAACCCGGGTCCCCATCCCCACGCTCATTATCACAGTAACCTAACCCCCCCCACACTCATATCAAAGTACCCCTAACCATCCCCAGGGCTCAGTATAAAGTTTAACCCCCACCGTCCCCATGCCACCCCTCGCGAGGGAGCCCGAAAGTACCACAATACTTTCCGGGTCAACCTCCCATGGGGTTTTAACAACTGCAAGTATGCGTCAGGGAGGGGAGCAAGCAGTGGGCGGCAATGCCCGTGCTAGTAAAAATTTTTCCCAAAACTAGTTGGGGGGAAGAGGCCGTCCACAAAAACCAGCAAAAGACATAGTAAACCCGGGTGGGATTTCGCTGATTCCCGTCCCTGTCCGCAATGCTTCGCCCCCCGGGGCCAGTGATGTCTTGCCACAGTGAGGAAACGGGTTGTCTTAAACCGTTGTTGCCGAATTTCGAACCGTACCTTCCCATTTCGAGCCTCGTAAGAAAGGGGTCGAGCCTCAAGCACTGTAAA